GGTCACAACACATATTGGGCCAGTAGTACGCATTCCTCAGTGAGCCATAGGTTTTGTGAAAACCAAAATGTCCTAAGACATCGTAAGCAAGTGAAAATAACGTTTCGTGAAGATTTCCTGTTTGGGGAATGATCAGTCTGTCACCGATATGCCAGAGATTATCGCGTAGAACCAAGCCTGATATGCTTGATGCCGCTGATGGCAAGGTTTTGCACCAAGTGTCATCTGCATACCCCGCTTTAATGGCATTTAGAAAGGCTCTGTCTGCCATAATTTCTAGAGTTGCGTTGATGGAGTTCAGTGACACATTGCATGCAGATAGTGATTTTGCTGTCCCCCAACTTCCTTGAGGTGAAGGTACCGACAGAGATGCCATGGGACACAGTGTGTCGTCATCTTCACAGAAATCGTATGGATGTCTCATGGCTGCATCTGCGGATGTTGAATCTGCTACAGGCAGGCGGGAGAGGGCATCGGCAATGTTGTTGTCCTCCCCTTTAATGTAGACGATCCTTGCATCATATTGTAAAAGAAATTCCATCCATTTAGTGTTCGCAGGTCCAGTCTACAGGACTGAAAATATACATAGGACTGAACTGGACTGAACCACGGTCCGGTCTTTTTCCAGTTGCAGTTGCCCACATTTGTGGTCAGTCCAGTTGCCAGTTGCCATGTTTTTGTAAATATATAAAAACCGAAAAAGACCGGTTTAGACCGGTTGCAACCGGTCTTTCGTCCCATCACATGCTGGACCTTACCCGTGCACATTTTACTTAATTTTCGGTCCCTGAATCATCAAAAACGGTCAAGAATTGGTTGAGATATGGCCAACAACATTTTTATATGCAATCTGTATGTATGTTCTCTCTGTTTTCACCATATCTCAGTCAAATCTTAACCGAATTGCTTCAAATTTCAATCAGTTTACAGAGAATTAAATTATCTATCCACACATGCAATGTACGTGAGGTAACATTCAAGATATCTGGCACAATAAAGTTTTCAACAAAAGACCGGTCACAACCAGTCTGGACCAGTTTCCTTTGTGTTGTGGACCAATTAGGACCGGTCTAAAAGGGTCCGGTTGCAGTCCCTTAATATCTGGATCAGTCTGGACTGGTTGCAGTTGCCAGTTGCCTCATTTTGAGGTAAAAAACTGGACTAGACTGGACTTTAAAACACTAAATGTGACCAAGTGTGTCATGTTCATAATCTGCTCCACATCCACACAATCAACATGCATCAGTTCTGTCACTGCAAATCACCTCTCATACATCCCCTCTTTGATGGTGAAATGCACCCCCACAAACTATCTCCAATATTGCCATCACCCTCCACCTTGCAAAACCAATGGTCATCTGAAACTACCATAAACTGGAGGAACAAGGTGCCAACCCCAACTTCTACTTGCATAAATCCATTCCAGGTCATCCGAGGATGATCAGCCCACATGTGGAGCATTGCACTACTCAATTAATCACCAGAGGAGCCTGCCACAATGCCATGGATGTCCAGTGTGAACTCTTCCCTCACCTAAATCCTGCCACAGTCTGCAAAATGTTTATTAGGAAGGGTCTGAATGGGAGGATATGCAGAAAGAAACGATGGCTATCAAGGAAGCATATTTGAGCTGAAAACTGG